ACAAGTATTATATTTTGCAGAGGTTACAAAAATACTGAGCAGCCACGCATTTACAATGTTAATAAGTCTCGGTATTCAATGGGATCGCGTTTAACGTTTATCGTATGTTTTCTGTAAATGTTTACGCTTTTAAATGTCCAATAAATATCGTAAATATCGGTCAAGTGAACTGAATACAGGACTTTCTGTAGCTCCTTTTGTTCTCTAGGAGTAAACGAGAAAGTTAGATTAGGCTTGCATGAAAATTTTAAATATAGTAGAAATTGTATTTGAAACTTAACGTAAACGGATACAATTTAGATGTTTGTTACAACTACTTGTGTGAATACAATTTCTCAACTTATTTGCTCAAAGATGGACCTCGATACACCTACATATACACCGCAAATAGGAAAAACAAACAACAACGATGAGACTCATCGTATTTCTATTTTGATATTTCTAGGACAGATTTGCAGATATTTATACACACCGAAACAATCGCGCAATCGATGTTTCTGGGTAGCGAGCTTTTTCACCCCTGGAATGGTAGAAGAATCCATTCCCTGCTCGCGAAGCGTTAACAAGAACACTTTTTCGCATGACAGAATAAATGCGGCTGATTATCGTCCTACGGACAGTTCGGATTACACGTCGCGTGGCTGTGTACGCGACTAACGACGCTTGCGTGTGTACTACAGCAACTTTGGTGAAGCCATTCTTGTGTCTTGCAGTTAACCTTAGGCCAGTTATTCGTTCGTATAGGTTCCAGCTCATTGTCTGGCATTTATTAGTACAGGTCATTGCTTTAAATCTCCGTTGGTTCGTTAAAATCTTGCCTCTGTTCGCCGATGAGCACGCACACTTACGGAAAGGAGCACGAACCCACGGCACGTCAGCCTCATAAGCTTGCGCGAGTCAGGATACGTATACGGGTCACTTCGTGACCTTTTCATTAGGACCGTTAAAAAAAGATTAGCGTCGGTACAACGTTATCTATATACTTGAATCCTTATTTACATTCGAGAAGTTTGCAAACACTCGATCTTTCATTCATCTGTTTTATTGTATTTGATAGGGGGGAGGGGGGAAGGAGCGAGAAGATTTCATTTAGAAATAATAATCCACGAAATAAAGATTAGAAGATAAAAGAGAGGCACGCTATGTATACAAAGTGCATTGTTCGATTACCACAAATGTTTCCACCATCATTGATGAAATGTTTAGAGGGATTGTGCAAGGACGATTATATTAAAAAGGTCAATGAATTATATATTTATTCTAGGTTTTTTTTATAATTATATGTGCCATTTAGTACTTAATCCGTGTCAGGAAAATGAATTCCATGTCAGCTCAATAATCTTCCCAAAAGTTACTTTTCGACTCTTCATATCGTGGAGTAAATCATTGATGTCTTCTTTTAAACGAAATTTAAAAGATATTGCTTATAATTTATGACACTCTAGTGGACTCTAAATTCAAGTAGCTTTATTATTCGTAATAAAAGATCCCCGGTTTTTAATTTTGAGTTTAACTCCGTTTATATCGACGATAGGTAATGAAAGAGTTAGAAACTTCGCATATACGGTGTTTTTAGTCCATAACAATCGGGTGTAATTCCAATCGATATTATAATCTACGCGTGAATAATACCTGAATTGTTTGATTTAGACGTCTCTCTGAATCTGATTAAGTCCAATCGGGGTGGCGCGGCGCGGTGCTGCTACTGTTCAATATGTTGTACGGTGAAACAACAATGTAGAAATAGCTTCCTATCGATGCAACGCTGTGTTCTCGTGTTCAGTTCTACGGGTTTCCAGTCGAAACTCTAATTTACGTATTTCCATCAAAAACACATTATTTGTACCGTAGAATTTGTTTGAAATATCATTTCGATGACCAACACATATACAGCAACACGATATCTAACTTAAAATATTAGATTTTTATGGATCGATTCGAAAGGTGGAGCGATGTCACCATGATTGAACGTCAAGCGTGGTAGTTAAAGATTCAGTTTGTAAAGTTAGTTGTTTCAAGTATAGTACACGTAATATAATCTCGATAATCTTAAAGCAAGAGTTGGCTGTGTTGTTCGGCGACTATTACGTTTTAGCTTTCTATCTTATTTGTAGCTAATTTTCAACAGGTAGGTAGAGAAGCCAGGAATTCGAAGTTTTACGCCTACTGTATGTGGTATGCATACAATGTTGCTAGTGAGAAGAACACGAAACTATATATGTGCCTAGATAACATCGATGTTAGTATAGAGCGTAGGCTTTTGTGTAGGTGTTCTTTAGAGTTCAATCAGAGATCACTTTCGCCATAAATCAACATTGATAGTGTCGTAAATGAATTATAAATAGTAATTGGCCATTATATTATCGACTGGGTAATTCTGAGAAAATATATGTATAATTAATTTTCAACTAAAAGGAAAAGTATATGTGTTGCCATAATATAACGATATTCGAAATTGAGATCCATTAATCGTCAAATACCAGTTCTATAATTAACAGCAATATATATACATATCATGGAAAAAAGTAACGTGAAATAAAAAGTATATCACACACCAGCAGCCAATTCTATGCATACTAAAAACAGCAGAGGAGCAGAAACTCAGCAGCAATTATCGCATTCGAGCGAACGGTACTCAAATATCTACTCGAACAAGGAAATTCCTTTTCTGAAGCTCGTTATGACGTAGAGAATTAATTATTTTTGAGATTCCAAGAAGCATGATAATAAGTCTTCCACGGTATTGTCTCCGCTGTATTCTGAGTGCCGATTTAAATGCTATAATAGAATGCGCTGCTACGTAAAAAAGTAATTTTGATAGCTTTGATGTCGAAGTACAAAGCACTCAAACATCTGCAGGAAACTTTTACGATCCAGTGAAACTGTATTTGTTAGAATTGGTTGTTGGATAAGATTGATTATATAATCTGGAACGATAGCTGTTTTTGTGAGCCTAAATTTATTGTTCTTGTTATATCTAGTTATGTATTACACGATTCATCGTATTTTAAATAATATACAATCAATTTAATATAATTCTTGATTAATACTCAATATACTATACAAATTTACAAACTCTTTTATCCATACTTACAACGTTTCAAGATACGTGTAAGAAACGTATTTTTAAAGTCTACATATATCACATAACGCATAGGTGACATAAAGTCTAGATATATTATTGCAAAGATGAGAATAGAATTTTTCTTATAATCAATTACATGTAATTAGTTTGAATACGATAATATTTAGTGTAATATTTTCAAACGTCATCTTTGATATCGTCGTAAATAGATATCAATGTTCATATTTTATATAAATTTCTTTTTCATATTTTTTTCTTTCTCTCTTCTGCAATGTGATATACAAAATGCGTTTCATTGTTCATCTCTCAATAATAAAAACAATTACATATACAACTGAATTGTATTGATCGAATAAACTCACCATTGTATATTTCAATATTCATACTTTCACAAACACACTGTTACTCTGTTATAAACCGCATATTATTTTCATCATGAATCTTTCGATCATTTCCACACGACGTCATCAGCCAGTTAGTCGGACAACGCTGCTTCTCTTTCAACCGTTCGATGTAAGATCAATCGGTCAAATACGAGTTTTATAATATCATTACCGACGCTTTTCTCCGGAAGAAATTGAATTCTCTTCTCGTTTTCGAATAGTCAGATCTAATAACGTTTGGACGTGCGTGTGTGCAATTGTACAAGTGTGCACAGCCCTATCTGTCTACGCGTTCGGTAAATGCATATATGGAAGCCGTTTCAAGGCAGGCTCATTGTCGTTGAAGTGTCACACGTGAATTGCGGCGAATTGATTTATTCATAGATAGCGGATGCTCAATGGAAAATCGTGGAACGTCGAAATCGAATTCACCAGCCACCGGCTTCAATTTCCGTGTATATGTGTCTTCGGGATGCATTTAAAAGTGGCTGCCTATTTTTGTGACCAAGCCGAGCTTTCCAACGGGTTTCCATGGAATCGAAGATCCAAAGATGCAATGGCGTTCCAGCGTTTCAGTTAGAAAGTATAAATGCAGGATTAATTTGAAGAATAGAGTTCTGAAGATTTCGTATATTTAGTATCGTTTGTCCTACAAATTAAATAGTCGTCGAACATAAATTCATATTATATTAATTTGTCACGACAAAAAGTATAATTTGATGAAATCTTAGTGGTTCGACGTATCGACTGATGACCAGCTCTACTCTGTTCTTTTTATGCACGAACTTGTCGGAGTGGACATATTCTGTGATTCGAAAAAAGAAGTATGCAATTCGATTTGACGTTACGGTAAGAAGATAAATATCTGCTTCGAATTCGATGAGAGTCAGTCTTGTAATTACTGATGATTCTGCGCGTAAAAGAGGATTAGATACTTCCCGAGTTATTACATTGATTCTACGACATCTTCTTCTACTATAAGTTTAGTTATAATAAAATTGTTTGTATGATCAGTATTTTACGATAATGTAGAGTAACAACGATGTTCTTTTCTAAGCTAAATTAATTATTATTTAATTTAATACATTAATTAAGCATGGGTAAAAAAATTGGTAGGCAATGAATTCGAAATGATCATAAAATGACACAAAAGTCCTCGTAGAAACGTATATGTACTGTTTTCAAGGAGTGTCGTTTCCTATCTTCGTCGAATGATCTTGGCCTTAGGGTAGAATGAAATTAACCATTGACTCGCTTACGTTAAGACAAATAAGTGGAATAACCTACTTTCGTTTTAATTATTCCGAACGTCCAGCTGCGTGCATATTTACGTATGCTTTTAATCGAACCAGCGTGCTTTAATTCCATTTATGCACATGCTCGCACGCTCACACAGTTGATACGTTGATTTAGCGAAATTAAGCGACCCACGAGAACTGTTAATATTATCTTTTACCGGTATCGCGTAAACAATCATTCGGAATCAATCGGTACCTTTGATTTATGACCTATTTTCTCGTTTTCTGTTGCAGTGAAGAAGGCGCGGTTCGTCTGCGAGGAAGGTTTGTATCCTATGAAAACGGGAAGAAGAGTCTAATTGGGATCCAAACTTGAAGTTGTTCTAAAATCAGCCTTAAAGACTTGCACGAGCGTGGCGCAAATAGGTACCTGCACATGCAAATTACAAGCGATCAACGTTCACCGTGGGACGATTGTTTCGAAAATTGAGATAGAAGCGATACTATTCGCGAAATGAAGTCTTTACTCACGCTCTAGTTTTAAGGTTCGAGCAAAATTTGTTGCACTCTGATTGGAACGGTTCCAAGCTAAAGGTTATGCGATTCCTCAACCGGAATATCGCGATGTTCTGTTCATGCCGAAATAATTTTTCCGCGGTACCGGCGTGCAGATCCTTCGCGACAACGCGACGTTACGCGACTGCCAATTTCTCGAAATCTTCCCTTTTATTTTTACCGATATTTGCCTCAGTTTGTTTTCGAACATGCAAATAAGCTATGCTCCAATCCTCGCGAACACTCCAGTTACATTAAACGATCAGATGCCTCGTAACTACCGACCGACTTAGTTCTACTTAGATCGAAAACTTAAATCGCTCTCTACGTGTTTCGTGAAGGAACGTGTCCTTGATATTTCTGCGATAGCTGCATTCGTTCATTAGTATCGTTTGTTCGCAAAAAACTACTCGGTTCGCGACAAACCTAATGTTGCGGGGAAACGTTTCGAACGAATTATTAGAATCGTTAACGATAGAGATGTGTATCATAAAGGATTTCTTGGTGTTACGCGATTTGCTGAAAATACTCGAGAACGACATTGGAAATATGCAAAAATTTGTTATTCATCGTCCTAAATCGTTCCATTTTCTGTTTGAGAATGTCACGAATTCGCGATATCACAGTGAAACGGTTTATACCGGGCGTAGAATTTATTCTTTATTTTAAAGCGACCATCTTATTGCTAGTCATAAATGATCGTGATTTTTGTCGTGTCGCGGCGTTATTTAAAGCGAGACAATTTCCAGGAACAACAGCGATCTTTGCACATATATGCTGTTAATGCGTTTAAACTTTTCAAATCGTAGTAATTTCCTGTTACGTCTAGCCAGTTTACCGGCTCTCGTGTTTCATAGCATTCTCTCGCTAGTTATAGGCAAAAGCCTCGAGACTTTGAGTAACTTCGCATTCATATCGCGCGTCTTTTTACGTTGGGTTACGTGTATTACCGCATATAGCCTGAGACTAGTAGAATCATTGTTTTTCATGTAGATAATGTTGTGTATAGAAACGCAACGTTTATAGATAATTTTAATTGTGGAGTTCTCTTGCAAAATTGGATTATTACTATTGGAAAAATTGTACAGGTCACGATGAATTGTCTTGCACAACAGTAACAAGGTTGATAATAAAACGTATAAAATTCTAAAAGTAAATTTTACAGTTAACTTGCAAATCGCTTAAAGTTATAAAATTATCAAAGTCTCAAGTTACTAATTGTTAATTTTCTAATATTATTAGTTGGTAAATTAAATTGCGCAAGAGAGGCCTGCACGGAGTGTTATCAGAGTTAACGTTTCAGTGTGAAAAGCTCTTGATTTGTTGTTCATAAAATCGTAGGAAAAACATTGTTTCAGCATTTGTGTGACCAATTTCTATCGTTAGACAGGTACTGCGTCGATTGTCAGTTTATTTTGTTTCACACACTTCTGACGAGACATAACAACGATTCTGTTACATAAACTCATTTATATTTTCATGATATATTGTTTGCTGAGGCTCTAGCATAATTTAGCTTAAACAACATGGCAATAACAAAGTTACCAAGATTTCAGAAACACAGATGTACATATCTGAACCTTTACTATCAGAATTCACTTGACATTCCACGAGTAACTTGGAGCCAAGGTTTCTGTATCCCAAGGGACCACCCGATTCCGCAGTCCTATTGCCGCAAGAGTTCTCTTAATCCGAAGAACCGCTTAATTCCAGGGTTCAGTCACACGAAAGGTCCATTTTTAGCCATAGAGTTCGTTTAACTAAGATTTTTATATTTTTGGAACTATGTAGCTTTTCGAGGCTGCTGGTTTTTGCAATCTGTTTAATGATTCTTGCAAGTTCGTGGTAGAATTCGTTTGGTTATAGAATTCACTTGACCTGAGAGCTCACCTAGCGCCAAAAATTTCGATTCCATAAATAACTTTGTCGCAGAATTTGCTTCTGCCAGCTCTGAGGATCTCTAAAGCGATAATAATTCTGAATTCGAACAGTCACATACTTAAATGAGGCTCTGGGTCCAAATTGATCCTAAGACTCGTGATCGCTGCCATAGACGATAAATGGGCCTTACGGAAGTTACCTGTAAAACCAAGATGTTTTGATAATCTCGTTGTATAAGTAAATCCTGGCACTATACGGTTCCTGGTGTTAGGTGGACATTTTTGAGTCAAGCGGTACGCGATACTATGTGGTTTCCTGGAGTAAGTGGATTCCGGCATCGTGTGGCAAGTAGGGCCAACAGATTGAACTTTGAACGACTTTAAACGATAGACGCTCTGTAGTCTATGGTGTCGTATAATCACTAATACGAGAGCATCAGGCGATAAGTAGCGTATATGGCTTGCAGCGTTAAACAGATTCTCCAGCTAAGTGAATCTTGGTACTTCGTGAGCTGTAAATCCTTAGAATTTCTATAATTCATTTATTACACACTTTAATTGCTTATTGTATATCTTGTGAATTTACAATTATCTATATAGCACATCTTATATCTCAACGAAGAAGTTATCCGTGTCTCGTTTTGTAGATTCCTGTCTTTATCCAATATCTTTAAACACATTTGCGCGAATCTACAGCCATTCGAATCTTGTTTCTTTTATCTGAATGGTTTGACATCAGACTTCGAGATTCCAAGAAAATCTTTTTATGTTCATCTTGCCATTGACTAAACTCGCTAAATTTACTTCTCAGCTCTTACGAGCTCCGAGTTCTCCTTCAGGTCGGCTATTTTGTACATTTCCACTATTAATATCGCCAAATAGTTAATGTCGATTCGTATATATATAACTTTAGTTAATTTTAGTTAGTTTGAAAATTTGATTCTAGTTATTGAATATTAAAGTCGTCGATTGAATTTTTAAATAGCCGGGCAAATCCGGCTACAGCGATGAGAACGACCTGAAGCTATGCTAATATCGCTAATGTATGCACGTACTTAAATAAACGAATGCAAGAGCTTTTTGTATCGAAGTAACCTCGCGTTCACTTCGATGTACGAACACGTGAACGAGGAATTGTTTAGAAGATTCTGATAACAGGTAATATATCATGCAAATCAGAGTGAAACGTTCTTCCTAGTGTATCGCTGGAAATGCGATCATTTCAGATGAAATAAGACACCAACAAGAATTTCAATTATGCAAAACGGTTCAGGCTTGCGCTCCTGTGTCCCACTTAAACGACAGCCTCCGTTGTTGTTATTAATAACTCGTTTTACGGCAATTACATTAACCGTAATTAAATATTCATCGATAATGGAAATTGTCTCGCTTTATGAATCAATAAAAATATATTGCTACACAAGCAGTATCGTAAGCAAGGGAATTGCAGATCGACATCGAAATTCCATCTATTTCTCTGTATCTCTATACGTAATCTCACCATTCGAAGAAATTTTTCATTCTATCAATTAATTAATAGAAATTAATAGAATGTTTCAATTATTTTGATAATAATTTCAATTTTTTATCTAGACGATCCATATATTACCTCGTTTATCACATTGTCTTTCAGTTCGTTCATTTTTTTTCTACACGGTCGTATAATTTTTAATTCTCGATAATAATAATTAAATCTCGAGCGTTTTTGGACCAATTAATTCGTCTATTCTAAGTATCGATCCATGCGTGGCTTCGTTGATTCGATCACTGTGATACAAACTTCAGTCGGCAGGAACAATTTCGTTGCACGTAGTAGCAAAATATCTAGTCAGTGTAGTTGAAACACGCATCGAATATCGTAAAACGGATTTTTTTCACGAGTTATCGAGAGCTTGCAGCCGGAATATATACTCGTGCATAGACGACGGAGTCGGAAGCTTATAGAGCTTTACGGTTCGTCTGCGCCGTTTTCCAGGCACGCAGATGGGTCGAAAGACTATCAGTATCTTTGGTAAATTGAGAAACGATCGGGCTTCCTTCGAGAGAATGTTACGATTCTATGTATCTGCGTGCCTCTGATCTTTTCTTATCGATTCGACATCGACTTACGGATGTTTGCAGTCGCCATGGGTTGTTAGACGGGTTAAGCTTTGACAGCTTATCGAGAAAACCTCGTCACGAAGGATAATCGTTTGTCTTTATTTAATTATATGTAAAGTAACTCACGAAAGTATTAGATCATTCGAAAAAATCGTAGCGGGAGTTAAAAAGGATTTAAGCGAAGTTAAACCTTTTGCCATCTATAACTTCGTGAATTTTTTTTTTTTTTTTTGAAAAATCGCGCGTCTTTTTCGATAATAAATTCCTTCGAGTAATTTTTTCGAGGCTTCCAGAGTACTTAATTTCTTATACAATATTTTTCGGATAAAATGTAAAATGATCTGACTTATATTCTTCTTTAGTGATTTTCATATTTTAAGATATTCGTGTTGTGTACTAATCTTCTAGTAAACGTATGTTCGTAATAGATGTTTTGTAAGCTTCATACATATACAATTTTATCGATATAATATAATTACCATAGTCGCTCTCCTTATAGCGTTAATGAATTTTAGAAACTTTCATATGACGCACACGATACGTGCGTAAAAATTGTTTGTGTTGAGTGCCTGTTGAACATTTTCACGAATCTTGAAACGAAACACTTGAAAGTGTTTCGGTAATTTCCATAAATGACGCTTTAATTGTCCCATGACGAGAAGGTACGCGACAGAAATATAACGATGTTTCGGATATTCGTTACGAAGCTAACTGCGATTTTTCGTTTCCCGACTGGATAAAAGTCCTCGCCGGCGCGGAAATATTTTATTATTTTTCCAGTCGCGCGCTCGTGTTTGAAATATAAACGCGCGACGTCCAGTTGCGGTAATTAAAAGATTTTTTTTAATTAAAGCACTCGCGAATCCGTTCTCTATCTGGCATGCTCAGAGGATGCGAAAAGAATGTAATTTCGTGACCGTTTCTCTAATCAAGCGTCGGATCTTTTGATATTAACGAGCAAGAACGGATACAAGGGAATGAACGGACGATTAGCGAACAACTCGGCCAATTTCGTTCCTTCCTTTCGATGAAAGTGTCTCGAACTATGTATCTCGGACCTTTTACACTTAGATTAATACAAAATTAAGCTTCCGAAACAGCAACATTATTCCTTGTCAGAAAGCAAACTTTCATACGCGCTTAATCAAATATTGGGTTGACAACTAAGTGATTGCGGATTTTGTCATCAGCTGGTATTGACAAAATCTGCAATCCCTTAGTAGCCAACCCAATATAAATGCACAAACGCGATTAAACAATTTAGAGGAGATTCTCCAGAAACAATCAATCCTAAACATTTATACACGCGTCGTGTACATTCCGTTCGTATCAAGATGCCCGCTGGAGAATTTCAATAATTAATTTTTTATCTCGACGTACTGCTTCGACCTACGCTAGTCGACGTTCCAGGACGCGACGGTAAAGCGTAACGTAGCTTGTTCGAGCGAAATTTAATTTATTGGATGGACGGAATAAATCCCAGTTTATCCGATCGTAAATAATTTTTGGTCGGCGCGACGCGATACCTTGATGCCGGCCGTTCCTCTCTGCGGCTGGCCCTTGTCTATTTATCAACGTCAACATTTCCATTTCCTGCGAGACAGATTTCTTTTACGAGCTGCATTGTGTTTCTTTCTCTGCACGATCAATCGAAATCGCATAACCCTGGCCTGGCCGTGATCGTTGCGCCCCGCTCGTTCAAGGGAAAACAAACCGCTTGAATTTTCTCGGACCCGATTCAGATTCGATCAACCACGATTTCAGCGGAACAATTCAACTCCTACGTAACACTGAAGCTGCAGAATGTGAAGTCGACGACAGTCACGGTGAAAGGGGCCAATCCATGCTGGGAGCAAGATTTTCTTTTGTAAGTACATGTCTGCGAACGTATTTATTAAGAAGAAAGGTCGGTAGGTCTGCTGAATTTACGATAGAACCCCGGTGAATATCGTCCCTCGGTATCCAATGTTTTCCACGATTTCCCCCTTCGAATAGATAAAAGCATAGGGATGAAACGGACGAAAGGGACGGACCGTTTCAATTTCGAATTTGCAGTTCACCGATGTTCCAAGTTCGCCATCTGTTGTAGTCTATCGCTCGTAAATGTCTGGATATTATTTAGATTTGTGCATATAACAGCGCGTGAATTTTCTTAAAGCGTATAAATCAATGGTAGATCGATAGAAGCGGTCTTTGCTACTTCTTTATGTAATTATTACAATGTACACGTTGAATGTACATATTGAATGTACATATATGTATAATTTTATGTGCTAGACTAGATTGGCCGCATAGTAGTGACACACGTATGTGAATATGAGTGTGTGCAAGTATGTGTATGCGCGGTGTCTCAAAAAACAGATGAACGTAACTGTTCCGTTGGCAGTCTGGTATGGAAGATGGTGAGACAAAGAGAGTGCTGAAACGCGTGCAAATGTATATCGACGAAGATCCTTTTTTTCTTTTTTTCTTTTTCTTTTATATGAACGTGGAGGAAATCCGCACGGACACCAGGTCGCTTCTGGGGAAAAACGGCGTGGTAGTGCCGAACATATCGACGAAGATCCTGGAAATCGTTCATTAAATAAATCTAAAACTATTTTAATATGAATTCTAAGTGTAACCTTAGTGTTCCTTTACTTTTATTTCGCCAATTAAGATGCACAATTCTCAACAGTACATTTGAATAATTTGTTAAAAAACTTAGCAATGATATATCTTTCTTTTATACGATAAAATATACAATTCATCTATACCGTCATTGACTTTGAATATCAATATTTGTAACGATGTCGGTTTACGAGAATCTACTAGCTGTGTCCAACTTCTTTTGCCTCTGATAACGATATTTAGTGGGTCGGTGTTGAATGAAAATGATAAGAGTCGAAAGAAATCGACGAGATCCGAAGTGTGCGCGTTATCATTGCTCGTTCATTACTGAGTTTGTGTCCGAGCTCGATAACGTGGAGTTTTTGCGATCGATTATCGAATCCCTTTAAGAGCTAAAATCCTCGCTCACCTTAACATCCATAATTGATATAATAAATATACGCTTAGTTAGTACAACAAAATAATCTATTTGTTGTTGAAGATAATACGATTAGCTAATCGGTAGTTGTATCTCGTGGCTCGATCCATTTACATTCGGACTAGCATCCTTATTTGCTTTCTCTTCGCTCTTTTCTCAGTCCTGATGATATTTTCCGTTCGAGTATCGATTTCTCACGTCGACAAAAGCGAACTTCGTTCCTTTGCGGCACGGTATGGTATAATTACGCTTTAGAATGATTCTGTCGACGTCGTTTCCCGGTATGCTTTATCATTCCGATATTATCAGTAGTAGGTGGGTGTTGAGAAATATAATGTGGGATATGATTTGCTTATTTATAAAAAGAGGACGATGGTGATGGATGTAATATTCAAATATTTTCTGCTTGCTCTTTATTATTAGCCTAGTTTTCTTTTTCTTTCTCTCTCTGTCTCAAACTTTTTCATTTTTTTCTCATCCACTTTATTCGCGAGAAAGTTAGATTCTTCAATGAAAGTTCTCACGATGTAATTTTATTTTCGATATTAAATAGAGCACGATATAAATTCATTGAAAAAGTTTATTTTGAAATTGCACTTTCCTAGATGACAGTGTAAAATTGGAAACAATCGGCTATATTCGCTAATACGTTGTTAATATTAGAACAGAAAATTCGGATAGTTCAATTTTCAGAATCTATTACGAGAATGGGCCAGCTATTATTAACAACGGTTCACTTGATTTTCAATCGCACGAAATAGTACGGGCTACGTGAAAAATATACATACATTAAATTTCCTATTATTTCAAGGCAATTTAAAGGGCCAGAAAATTCACGATTTGTAAAAGGGTTGTCCTGATTTAGTATGTTCTAAAGCAGCGTCTTTTTGTGATTTTCTTTAGAAGGGAAAGAAAGAAACGAAAAGCAAAAGGTAGAAAATAGTGTGAAATAAAAAATTGTGGCGAGTTTAAAGAAACAATGTGTTTCATAAAAAGAAAAAATAAACTTTAAGGTGCTATAACGATTATTTAAATAAACTTTTTGACGAATTTTTTTAGTTCATCGAGAAGAAAAATATATAATAATTTAATCCTTTTTTAGTTTTTTGTTTCAGTCAGGAATTACGAGGTGAATCTTTCCCATCGATTGAAAACTGCAGCCCATGAAATAGGCTTAGAAATCTGTTATAATATTTGTTTTTTACTTTAAAAAAAATTGTTTGGTATTCGTTAAATATATATAAAACCGTACCTCGAAGTTCAATAACTTCGTTTCTTTCTTTTCCTTCTAAAAAAAAATCACAAAAAGACGTTGTTTTAGAAAATTCTAATTCAGGACACCCCCTTTAATACTCACTCAGAGAAGCAAATTAATCGACGCATTAACACTAAGTGTGTGTAATTTTAATACTCGATACATAGTATAAATATTCTTTTATAGCGTTGCTAACAGATCTCGCGGTTGATGCGACATTAAATCAGAATTTAAAAAAAGGGGAAAATGACGGAGGTGAGGAAAATATCTGTCTATCTACAGGCAGCATTGTAGTTGACCGATGTTCGAGCAAGAGTTATGGAAATTCCGAATGAAATTACGACGACGAGCAGCGTCTTTTCTAAGGAAGAACTTTCGTCTTAAAATCCCTCGTTCGATTCGACATGGCTGGTGTTCGCGAAGAAAGCACGCAGCCGCGTCCGTTTTTCCGTTTATACGAGTCGTGGGATAGCTTTCTAAAGACGAATGAGGTCTATCAAGTTATGCCAAGTTATGCGACGTTATGAACGTGATTCGCATTTCTGTCCCGATATGCATCCAAGCTACGCAGATCGAAATAAATGGAAACGAATAATTCTACAGCGATTCATCGATTTCCCTATTTCGTCAAAGCTTTCGCTTAAATTTTCGTTTAAATTTCGCAACGATGTCGGATTCTGATTTACGCTTTTAACGATTACTCTTGCCTGGTTTACATTGTTAACGCGAAAATCAGATCGCGTGAAATGGTCGACACGGAGAACACGCTATTGATCGACCGTGTAAAATATATAAGGAGGACAATTGCGAATGGTGGAGGTGGAAAATAGGAGAATTTTGGATCTTAGCTTTCTGAAACATCCTTACTGGCGCCGTTAAATCCTCACTTGCCAAGTTGCGAACCTTTAACCTACTTTCCCTTTGGCGCCCCCCTCTCTGTACGCGGCCGGGCTGCATTTAAATCGTATTTATTTAACCTGTGACGAAACAACCGAAAATAAGAATCTCGACGATGTTATCGATCAATTTCCCTCGATTTAGAGCATCCGTATCGATTACGCTAATAATGCTGTTACGAAACGTCTATTTATATTTCCTATCGATCCATAACGATGTAAGAGGCAAAAAGAATCAGCTGATTGGATTGCTGGTTTTCGATATAAAGGCACATTTATTCGTCGATTGGCCAACGTGATTAAGCAAATGCAAATTATTCGATAGTCTTAGTCGTTGTTTAAGTTTACTGTTCGAGACAATTCCGCTATTAAGATGTGATAAATCGTGAATTTAACGTCAACGTGACAATATCTGAAGGGACAGTAATAAGAGTCGTGGACGCGAAAGTCGCGAGTTTGAATGTTGCTTTTAACAGCTACAGGGAACGAGAGGAGGATCAGTCGATATCGAGTCACCGGATCGTGATTCGAATGCGAATCTTCTATTTGCCGTTCTAACTAATTAAGTTTTCCAATCAGTCGACGAATTGTTTCCCCTTAAATCTAATGTTTAAACTAGAATAGTTAATCGGGTCGTTAACGGCGTAATCGTAAAATTCCTTTCAATTTCTGTCTGTACTCGTTGTATTTCTACTTTTTCTATAGAGCCACGTACAAAAGTTTCAGATAGATTTTTCGCTTTATATTCGAGAAGCGATATCGAAAAGAATTTTGATCGATATCGAGTATGAAGAGCACGAGGATACGGCAAGTAAACGTGGTATTAGTTAAGATTCTTTAAAATATCGTTTCTGGGATATAAAGTGAAAAATCTGTGTGAAACTTTTACACATCGCCATAAGCGAGAAAGATTCTTTGCCAATATAATAAAACGAGAAAATAAGAAGCGAAAAGTGTAAAATAAACATTTGTTTGTTATCCAGCGAAACGAACGATATGAATACGGGCCTTCTGGTGGAAGTTTGGTGCAAGGGTTTCCTGTGGGATCGTTTCCTGGGCTACTACTACGTCCCATTATCAGAAGTGTCCTACATGAATGAGGTAACGTCTAAGCAGTCCTACAATACATCCACTGGCACGGTATCGACAGGGAAACAAGAACAACAACAACACATATCCTCTGACAGCATGCGAGACACGAACAGCAATACACAGCCACCAGACATCATCAGCACGGTACACTAATTGATACATGTAGCTAGCCAGATTTCTGTCTTACCAACACTGCAGATTAATTTCTAAACATGCATGCGACCCCGCTGTCATATTTCCGAGACGCGGTTACAGTAAAATCATGATTACACTCTCGACGTACACAGCTCCTAAACGGGAGTGGGTGTCCGTAATATTCGAGGATCGATTAGAAGCGGTGTGTCTCGATATTCCGTGCACGTGGCACTCTTATCACGATATGAACTCGATTTTCGCGTGTACGTCGACGTCGTGTATATTAAATGAACCCGTGCTCGTTCACGACGTATTTGACGTAAAGCCGGTATAAACGAAAAAAGAAAAAGTTAAGAAATTAGGAGAGTAGGCAAGCTGCGGTTCTTCGGTAAAAATAGTACGTACTAGCTACCACGAAGTAATTTGCAAAATCGTAATCGATGGTATTCGAGATTTACGATCTAAACGTGTTACCGATACTTAACCGTGTACGTATATATTTCTCATGTTCGCTCGATGCGCTGGTTGAATTGTTTCGCGAAGCGGCGGTATCTTCCGATCGGTGTAGATACAACCAGGCGCGAAGGAACACGATTGCGAAGTAGCGAGACGTTTAAAAGCGTACGAGTTCCACTTTACGACTGATCGATGATACAACACGTCAGGCAGAAATCCCGCGACACTTACGTGAAATAGCGGTAATTTTTTTCTGCTGACTAGTTTTCAAGTCAACGAAGTCAGCGTGTGTAATGTTGCACGGATTTGCTAAAAAGAATTAATCACCCTCTGGAGACCGATACCTCGAACCGTGCACTGTTTACCGTTTAACTTGGGGCACGAGGGAGTCATTTTTTCAAGGAACATCGACCAGACACGATCGACATGCAAGGTGTAATTAGTACCTCTTCTTATTACAAAGAATTGATAGGTTTGTGGCGAAACAGAGATTCGATTCGTTGTTTATACGTCAGCACGAACTAAAGGCAGCTATTCGTCGAAGAACGACGTCAAAAGCACAGCGAATTCTTTATTCGTATCGCTCCCTTCCCCGTTCTGTTATTTTCCAAACGACTTTCCCGTAAACGCCGCGGGATCGCGCTCCATCGAGCATAAACTTTGCACGATTTTGTAACAGAGGAAAGAAAAAAGGAAGCGTGGCAAAATAAGGGCATGGGATATAAGGCACGGTATACACCGGCATACGGCATGCTGACAGGTTTAAATGGCATCGCGTGAGTGTAACTGATCGAGAATGCTGCTCATAAAAAAGAGAGGGAGCAATACGTGTGCAAACGACCGGCTTAAAAAATCCCGTGGATAGATCGGTGACACGATACATTGTCGTGGTAGGCTTTTGTAAGAGATTTTATGCCACTTCGTACCAGGTATCGCGATAGTAAACTCGCGTAGGACACAATGTATATTAATAAATAGGCCGCTGATGTTTATGCATTTACGAGAAATTTAAATGTGCAAAAATGTAAATCTAGTATGCTTAGGCATACGAAATGTACTAACGTAAGTAAAGTGGTTGTAAAACGAATTTTTATTTAGACTCCGTTTCTTTAGTCGTGTTCATAGAAACATGAATTTGCACGAGCATCCGCAGTGTGCTAATGGATAACACGGATGAAAAATGAGATTTTTCTATTTACTTGCTGATTATTTTAATTCGGATTTAAATATCTTGTCGCTACGTTCGTATGAATCATCTCTCGATACTCATTTTTCGTTAAGAACGATTTCATCGAATTTATGGGAATTACTTCTCCACATCAGTTTTTCATTAAAAAGTATTTTTTTTTTTCATTCAGAAAGTTTCATCGAGTATTATCTCGAGTATCGATCTCTTTTTCGTTGTAGTAACACGACTGTGAGAAAGTGGTGAAATTTTTGTCGAACGAGTTAAGGGTGTTTGGAGCAGAGTAATGGACGTATGAGAAAAGAGTATTTGTTTAGTTCGAAGTGTGAGAGGTGCGAAAGTAGAGTGTTTGTTCTAATTGTAAGTTCTTGAGTCATGACGCGAACGAACGTTCTACGATCGCCTAAGGTTTTCAGCTGTTTTCCTTTCTCGTTATATATCCTTTCATATATATATCACAGTGGCTGAAGAAAATAGTCAAACGCTCGTTATTAAAACAATATTACAACTAATATAAGATATACGTATCAAAATTACATATCTAAAATTTGGGACGAATTCGATAACATTCGTCGAATGTTATGAGACATTCGTGGGATGTTATGAGACATTCGTTACAATGACGTACAGAAACAAGGTCAGGAAAGTAATCGAACGTCTAGATATTAAGCGAATAAACAATGCTTTTGTATACGAAGTGGAAACATCGTGTAGTGAGGTTCTCGTTACGCTGTGAATAATATCAATTCGCGTACCGACAATGAGTTCGAAAATACCAGAAATTCGAAAGGGAATTGATATTAAAATTGCACAAAGATGGAAAATCATATAAGCAGATCGCCAAATTATTAAACGGAAGTGTGTCTACGATGCGTTATATTATCAAAAAACGAAAAAGCGAAGTAATAGTGACAAGAAAGCACCGTACTGTCAGGTCAAAGACACTAACTAATAGAAAAGAAAAAGCTATTATACGCGAAATAAAGAAGGATCCAAATATCTTGGCTACGAAGCTTACTCAAATGGTTGCCAACTACTTCGGGAAGAATATTCGCGAGGAAATTATGTCGCAGAATTTTGTGACGCAATGATTTCCATGGTGGAATTTCAAGAAACCATTCGTTAACAAGAATGAAGCCAGGCGTTTAAAATTCACGAAGCAATTTATGAACGAAGATACTATAATACTTTCTGGGATAAAATTATGTTCTCAGATGAAAGGAAATACAATGTATTTAGATCGAATGGACATCGCATGTCTGGAGCAAAGCCAATTCAGAAACGAATATTAAACATTTATGTCCTGCTATGAAGCATAACGATGATTCCGTGACGTTGCATGTACGGCTACAAATGGCACTGGGAATCTCGTTTTCATAGCTTGTATTTGTAGAATATTATTCTAGACACGTATAAATCTTGAAATATTTTAAAAAAATAATTTAAAAGACAACGCTAGAAAATTCGGATTATCAAACAATTTTTCTTTTCAACATAACAATAACTTCCAGTCAAACACGGTCGGAATCGCGAAAGAATTGTGAACGTGAAAGAATTATCGTACAATATGTGTAACATACGCCCCCGCAAAGTCTCCGGATTTTAACTGCATCGAACATTCTTGTGGGCGGAAATCAGTAAAAGATAAAAAAATTATGACATGAGTTGGAAAGACATACTGGTAAAAAAGACAAAAATTTATTGAAGTATGGAATTATGTATCTGTTCGTTATAAACAAACAATCTGTGTGTTTTACATTACATTGAAAACCTTATACCAGATTTCCTGCTGTTTTCTACGCCAATAGGCTGAGCGCAGGCTGAAATTCGTAATTTCCGCGCAAACGTAATTTGCAAATTCGCGCGGGTAATATGCGACGATGCTGCTCTCATTAAAATTTTACGGCCAAAGAGTTCTGTTTTCCTTCGAATTTCCTTTATATAAGACACAAAAGTAGTGCGCGGTCTACATAAGCAAGCAAAGAAAACTAGTCTCGTTTCCACCGTCAATTCCCTACTTTTGATTTATGAATCTTAAAATTAAGAATGATACCGAACTACATATCTCCATCGATGTTTCAACTTATTATCGATATTTAAAATATTATTTTGCATTCGAGAATCCATCGCAGCAATTCCACTGCTTTTCGCTTTCTCTCTCAAACGCTGTTTCCTTTCACAATTAGCAAAGCGCGAAGTATCGACATAATAATTACTTCGAATCAACGTGCCATTCGTGTTTCATCATTACACATCGGATACCGCGAATTATTTTCAAATAATCTTGGAGATCGATAAGTGAACAATCGGCAAACACAGAGTAACAAAGGGTACGCGCACGAAGAAACGTAACGATATCGAGCGTTGCACGAACGGTTTGATTCGGCTACGGCTGTTTGTTTCGTAGAAGCGTTGGTCCATTCCCGATCGACCAAATATCGCGCGTGGCATCGAGTGGATCATCGAAATGACTGGATATTCTCGCAGAGCTCGCCGTACATGTCCGGTGGTGCACGTGAAATGAAACTGAAACGAGCGTTTAGTGTTTACACATGGAACGAACCTCGGATCAATTGACGCCGGTTATACGTTCGGATGGAAGTGTGTAACGAGTTTCAGGTTAGCCTTCATGATGTCGCCGTTGCACCGGTTTGGTCTGTGCATCGGTCCAAACCTGGTCGATAATGCGATTACCGGTGGACGCCAGTGTTTGCCTCTGTGACTGTCGCGAATCGGGGAAATAAAATGTGATATCTTGAAAGTTCCGCTCGAGGAAATCGCTAGTTTCTGCTCGCTCGAGAATTAATTCGATCGCCGCCGACAAAAGCTTCTTCATCTCGATCGAGTTCGATGTTTGATCGTCCTGAAAATCGTGAGAACCTCGAAGCCCGAGACACGTGTGTACGCCCGAGTGTACATCTTCGAAAGGATATACGGGATACAATTTTGAAATTACTGTTCAAGTTATTTCACTTCCTAAAATATTTGTGCTATGATGAAGATGTTTGTCCAAAAATGATAAAAACCTCGCCACGATTAATTCGTACAGCGATGTAGGTATTTCCAATGAATAAATTATGTACGTTACTGGTTTACGCGAAACTGCTTAATAAATAATTTTAATTCACAAGCAGTTACTCGTATAGTATAGCAAATATTGCTTTTAGTTATTAATTCATTGATTTTCATATTTCCGTAGCATTCGATTACCGTTAACGCGATCTGATTATAAAGCGATACTTATCAATGATGGTATACACGTATTAACCTTTCGATTAGCGAGATCGAGAATTTTCCCGATTCAGTTTTACCCTGAGCACGATTCGTCGATAATTGGAGAGTGTAGGTAGCATCTGATTCGATCTAT